AGCTGACTTTGAAAAATTTGTATTGACTACTAGATGCTTTTGTCTAAATTAAATTATTCAATTACTAAAAAGTACAACTTATGCGTTACATCTTACATATAAAAAATATGAATAAAGTATAAGGGGAACTGCAAATAATAGATATATAACAATTCAATTTTTTTTAAACATTTTTTGATATTATTTTAAATCGATTAGTTTTTTTTGTAATATTAATATTTATATTTTTTACTAATACGAGTATTAGTAAATTTCTTAAACATTTTTCCACTTATTTTAGTATTAAATAATATAGAACTCCCTAAGTTATTATTTTTGTTTATTCGAATTAAATTGAACAAACTTAAATTATTTTTGTTTTAAGTGTTTAAATTTTGACAAAATAATATAAGTTAATTGTCTAGTTGGTTTAAATTTTCGTAGTATTTATAGTTAATTTTTTTTTTCTCAGAGAACTGGTTCAAATTTTTTCCCCTGCTATTCAAAGATATCACAATTTTTTTTTTTAATTCATTGAACTGTGAAGGACTATGTCTTAAGTTCATCAATAAACCAAAATCACCTATTACATCAATTTTTCACTACAACGAATAATTTTGTTAGAATGTAATTAGGTTTATATGTTTGCATAAACAGTTCTTAAATTAAAACAATTTGTACTACAATATATGATGGCCTTCTATAATATTGACGCCAGGCCAAATATTTATTTTGATACTTTTATGTTATGTTGAATGATAAAATAAAATTATTGATGAATGGTGGAACTCATAAATAATATGAATATTTATGTTTATTAATTAAATTCAATTTTTCTATTAATTTAATTTTTTTTATATTACAGTAAAAAAAATGTTGATTCGTGTGTAAAAGAACTAATAAATGCAGTTTTTAACAATTTTCTTCGACACTTACAAGAAAATCCTAAATTCTGGTTAATCAATGGGTCAGTTGCAGTTGTATTACTTGGAATTTTAAAATCTGGCACTGGTAATTATTACATTTTATATCAACTAATATAGGTAGATATAATATATAATTTCTTGTATATTATTTACTGTATTAAATTTGATTGTAAGTACCAAATATGTTTAAATTAGCATATTTTATGTACACTATAATTTAATGAAGTTATTTTATTAGACTTTAACTTATATATATATATATCAATTGTCATATTATGATTTATTTTCGTTGTATTCTGACCGGATTTGTCATTTAATTAAGTATTATAAATTACCAAATTCAATTTTTCGTAACCTCAAAATTAAATATTTATATATATATATATTTTAATCAATTTGTATATAAAAAATATACTTTAAGTATGATATTTTTTTAAGTTGATACTTTAAATTTCGGAATTCTTTTATATATATACCTATATTTTCTGTTGGTTTTTCTTTTATCAACTACTGCTACTTCTATTTTACTTGAAATTAATCTATATAAATAAAAGTAATTAAATCACGATCATTATATAAATTTATTTTAAAGTTATAATATACTCATGAATTCATTTGTATGCTGAGAGCATGTATTCACATTTTAGATTGCTATTCATAATAGCACACAACATAGTTATCTGAACAATTCAATTATATTACGTTTATTTCAATGGGTTTAGTATATAACTTTAAGTAATCAGTTATTATATTAATATTAATATAATTGATTCAATTTGTTTTTAGTTTTAATATAAATTTAAATTAACTACCGCATTTTTTTTAGTAAAAATAATTTAAAAATTTGTTTTGTATTTTAGAAATTAGAACTTGTAATTAATGCTTAATATTTTATTTACAGAAGAAAAATTGAGAGATGCCATAACATCAGTAGCCAATTACTTAGTTGATCCTGACAATACAATATTGAAAAAAGATAAAGAAATGTCTGTGTACGAGCATGCTGGTCTTCATATAGTACTCGAAAAGATTATTGGCTATGATCAAACTCTAGAAAAGAACAATAAAAGTAAAACAAGTTTTACACTATTAATTTTTTTTTTTTTTTTGATTAAATATAATTGTTTTAGGTACATTTTCTGAAAATCTGTTAGCAGTTATTAACAACCTGTTTTTTTATTGATGCATAAGTTATAATTGTCTTCTTTTAAAATGTAATTATTTGATACTTAATGTAATTTTGTATTTCACTATGATAGAATCAAATGTTCAGTTGGCAATCCAAACCTTAAAATCACTTTTGGAGCAGATATAATGCAACTATTACAGAAGCAAACATGTACTGATGCTACAAAATGTTTTGCCACAAAATTGAAATCTGTATTTGAATTTTAATAAACAATTATTTTAACATATTTCCTTATATATTTATATATTAATAAATCTTTACAGATCTCTGATACACAATACTCGTAGATAGAATAATGCTCAATTGAAATTAAATTGATATGACCATATAAGGTAATTACCAGATATTAGTCATGAATGTAATTAATTAGAATAAATATTTCAAAACTGACGATCACATACATTTTGACATACATATTGTTGATGGTTTTTTATTTTCAATTAAAAATAATCTCCCAACAGTTCTATTATATCTAAAGATAATTGCAATGTAAGAACCTATTTCTACTATATAAAATTCTTGTGTCACAGTGATTGATACCATAAACCTCCAAAACTGCATAACCGAATTTAATAAAATTTTGTATATGTATTTGGTAGGTCTGAGAATAGGTTTTCATCTATTTTTTATACTTCTAAGTGATATAAGAAGGGACAAGACGGGTATTGCATAAATATTAAATAACAAGATCCCGCAACAGGTGCCAAAACAAACAAGAATGTTAGTTCGAAAGATTATTATGGATATCAGTTGATGATAAGACGCTATCAGGACAAAGTTATTTTACAATGTCGTAAGCTTTGTAAACGATTCATGGTCGACATGTATGTTAAGATAGAATGCGAATGATTACAATACTTGCGATTCAATCAAAAAAAGGTGCGTTCGGAAGAATATATTCACCAGCGAAACGCTATTGTTAACAACGCATAGCCGCTTAATTCGGTAACCCTGTCATTCTACCATCATCATACGAGTACATAGGCAGTCCACGTCATATACAAGAATATATACAGAATGCTCTAACTTCCGTGCGCGAATATGGATGACCATGTTTATTTATCACGTTCACATGTAATCCAAAATGGCCAAAATGCAATACACTTTAATACTTTAATATAAGTATTTAAATACCCGATATATTGATTATAAAGATACTAGAGTCTTACAATTATTTGAAATACAAGTAACCTACCCATTAATCTTCTTATACTGAGTATTTATTTTACATTTATTTTACTATTAAGGTTATCTTATAAGCAGAACTCATGAATGTCTTGCTAAGTGCTGTTTTGTGCTACCTAATAATATTGACATGTAAATTAGATTCAAGATAATAACCATGTGTGAAATCATATTTAGCTTAAATAATAGATATTAACCTCGTATGGATTACTTATGAAATAATTTTTAA